ACCGAGTGGGCCCAGAGATACCTCTCCGTCACACGGAGTGACAAATCCCAGTCTCGATTCGTGCCAACCCAATAGACACTTTCGGAGATACCTGTAGTGTACCTTTATAGCCACCCAGTTACGTTGTGACGTTTGGCACACCCAAAGCACTCCTACGGTATCCGGGAGTTGCACAATCTCATGGTCTAAGGAAATGATACTTGACATTAGAAAAGCTTTAGCATACGAACTACACGATCTTTGTGCTAGGCTTAGGATTGGGTCTTGTCCATCACATCATTCTCCCAATGATGTGATCCCGTTATCAACGAAATCCAATGTCCATGGTCAGGAAATCGTAACCATCTATTGAGCAATGAGCTAGTCAACTAGAGGCTTACTAGGGACATGGTGTTGTCTATGTATCCACACATGTATCTGAGTTTCCTATCAATACAATTATAGCATGGATAATAAACGATTATCATGAACAAGGAAATATAATAATAACTTATTTATTATTGCTTATAGGGCATATTTCCAACAGGAGTATGTTCTCTCTAAAGAATGGCATTAAAAAGAAAAGAGATAGATAATTAAGAGTCTTGGTTGATGAATGTCTTTCATGTACTTTCTATGAAGAATATTTTTCAGTCAACATGATTTGAGATGAAACAAGCAACATGCGTGTTTAATTTGACCAATGTCGGATCAAGCATGTGTGTCAAGGAGCATTCAGAATTATTCCTTAATTTGATGATTGAATATGCAGTCAAAAGAGCCAATTCTGGCATTTATGTTCCCTTACAGGGAATTACCCGCATGGCGGGAAAATGATGATTATGATAAAACCTGCATGGCGGGAAAAGTCTCGGAAAATACCTGCGTAATGGGGTAAAGCTGACATAATATTATGTCAAAAATCTCGTATGGCGGGAGAAATTCTGGCAAGAGAAAGATATGATAACTCGTGTGCTTTTAATGTATCCCACTCTGGGAGAAAAGAATGGAGTAGCTGAAAGGCGCAACCGTACACTTATGGATATGGTGCATAGCATGATGAGTTATTCCAACTTGCCATTGGGATTATGGATGGAGGTGCTTAAAACCTCCATTCACATTCTCAATAGAGTACCAAGCAAGTCGGTGCCCAAAACACCGTACGAGCTATGGACAGGAAGGATGCCCTCCCTACAACACTTCAGGGTGTGGGGGTGCCCTGCTGAGGCAAAAATGTGTAATCCAAACATTGCAAAGTTAGATCCCAAAACAGTAAGTTGCCACTTCATTGGCTATCCAGACAGATCAAAAGGTTTTCGTTTCTACTGCCCAGACAGATATACACAGTTTGTAGAAACGAGACATGTAGTCTTCTTAGAGGACGAAATGATGAGGGGGAGCTTGGTAGCTCGGAAAATTGATCTTGAGGAGAAGAGGGTGCATGCACCTAATCCGATGATTCAGGAGCCATTTTTCTCACTACCGGTTGCAACTCCACCCATGACAACTATGGGAGTAGACCCGGAACCTATCCGTCAGGAGCCGACTGAACCCGTTGTTGAGCATGAAAGGGAGGTGCAGCTGCAAATTTTAGAAGAAGTGCCAGAAGTTGAGGCACAGAATGTGCCAGAAACTGAGGCCCTTAGAAGGTCCACAAGACCAAAAAAAAGTTAGCTATTTCTACTGACTTTAAAGTTTATAGCACAGAAATGGTTCATATGGAAAAATATCCCACCTCATATGAAGAAGACATGAGAAGCCCTCATTCATCAAAGTGGATGAAGGCAATGAAAGACGAGATGAAATCGATGAGTTCCAAAGATGTTTGGGACTTAGAGGAAATTCCTAAAGGAGCCAAAACAGTAGGCTGTAAATGGGTCTATAAAATTAAGTATGACTCTAAAGGGAATATAGAAAAGTATAAAGCACGACTCGTGGCAAAATGATTTACACAAAGAGAAGGGATAGCTTACAATGAGACATTTTCTCCAGTCTCATGTAAGGATTCCTTCAGAATCATAATGGCATTAGTTGCTCATTTTGATCTAGAGTTACATCAAATGGATGTTAAGACGGCATTTCTGAATGGTGATTTAAAAGAAAAGGTCTGCATGAAACAACCCAAGGGTTTTATCATGAAAGGCAAGGAAAATATGGGATGCCGCCTGAAGAAATCCATTTATGGATTAAGACAAGCCTCTAGACAGTGGTATCTAAAGTTTAATCAAACGATTAAAAGTTTTAGATTTAAAGAAAATATTAAGGATAATTGCATTTATGCAAAGTTTAAAAATGGGAAATATATTTTCCTAATCTTGTATGTGGATGATATCCTGCTTGCTACCAGTGATGTTAGTTTACTACAAGAAACAAAGAAGTTCTTATCCTCAAATTTTGACATAACAGATCTTGGTGAAGCATCATATGTTTTGGGCATAGAAATTCACCGAGATAGAAACAATGGAGTCTTAGGACTATCGCATAAAGCATATTTAGAAAAGGTTCTTAAAAGTATAATATGCATTCGAGTAAAGCCACACCTGCTCCTATAGTCAAGGGCGATAGTTTTGGGAAATTCCAATGTCCCAAGAAACAGTACAAGATCGATCAAATGAAAGCAGTACCATATGCTTCGGCAGTTGGCAGCTTACAGTATGCACAAGTGTGCACTCACCCCGACTTAGCCTTTATCACCGGGGTACTCAGTAGATATCAAGGGAATCTAGGCATAGAGCACTGGAAGATGGTAAAGAAAGCATTGCGTTACGCGCAAGGCACGAAGGACTACATGCTAATATACAGGAGAAGTGATTCCCTTGAGATAAAAGGGTATTCAGACGCAGATTTTGTGGGGGATAAAGATGATAGAAAATCCACGTCAGGATACGTATTCACCCTGGCTGGGGGAGCTATTTCGTGGAAAAGCTCAAAACAGTCGACAGTTGCATCATCCATGATGTATGCAGAATTCATAGCATGCTTCCAAGCCACGGGGCAGGCGATATGGCTAAAGAAATTTGTACCCGACTTGAAAGTGGTAGATTGTATTCACAAACCACTAAAGATGTACTGTGAAAACCAGCCCGCAGTATTTTACGCTCACAACAACATGTCGAGTAATGCTGCCAAAACAATAGAGATAAGGTATTATGTTGTAAAAGATAATATCCAGAATCAAACTATAAGTCTCGAGCATATAAGGACAAAGGATATGCTTGCGGATCCGCTAACGAAAGGCTTACCATCCAATGTGTTAAAGGAACACTTAGCCGGCATGGGTTTAAAGGAAAGCCTTATGATTCCTGGATAGGCTCAAAAGGAACATAATTTGTTTGTGAACAAAACGTATGTTGTAGCTGTATGATTCTATCGGCATTTAAGCTGTGACGATGAAACATGCTCTATGTTCCAATATGTGATGAAACAAATAAACTAGAAAGTATAAGGTTAAAAGTAAAATTAAGATCAAGGGGGAGAATGTTAGGTTGATCTCTATCCCGTTCGAACCCAACGGGTCAAACGGGCCCCTGACTCGCGCCCTGATCGGGGGCGCCCAACCAAACCATGGTTGGCGGCCCCCTGTGACCCGCGCTATATAAACAGAGGTGGGTGCCGAGACACGACTGACAAGGTTAACCGCTGCCACAAACCCCACCGAAATCCCCTACCGATCTAGGGTTACCGCGGTGCTCACGGGAAGCTCCACCACCGCCACCATCCACTCTTTGTCATCACCGCCGTCGCCATCCACCATGGCCACCTCGGCGAGATCATCGACACAGAGAGAAGGTAGGTTTGCCGGATGATCTAGCCTACCCCGATCCAGAGGATTTATCAAACCTGCCTTCTCTGGATACTAAAATATTGCTTTGAGCTGCTGTTTTCCTTGAACTAAACCGAGTTCCAACTGTGAATAACTGATATCATCAGCTAAAACAAACCGTACTGTACCTGTCTTTCAGTATCTCACGGGAGAAGTTAAATATAGAAGTCATTTTCATGTTATTCAGATAGATGGTCGTGATCTGCCATAGTTTGATTGCTAGTTGCAGATTTGAACAAATACCTGACAAACATTGAAACAAAATATTGTAGTTCTAGCACACAGAACAGCTGATGTCAGTGTCATTTGTTTCCCTGCATTTCTTGACCACCACTATGCACCTCTTCTAGTGACACTGTAATTTTTCTTCCGTCTTCTTTTTTACTTTATTGTATATCTTTTGATTCTTCCCCCACTTGTTATTTTTGTTTGTGTTTCTGGTTGGCCAAGTAGCGGATTTTGATACCATTGGCAGTTGATTTTGTGCCCACGTGTGTTTGAACACCAACAACACATGCAGAATATGTTATGAAATGTGACGTGTTTCTTTGGTTATTAGTTTGAACCAGTAAATCCCGGCGCCGGAAATGAACTTATTTATTTATTTATTTATATACTCACTGATTGCTTTGTGTGCTTCTTAACTTGACTGTGATAGCGTGTTTGACAGTAGAGGAATAGCTTAATTTTAGTGTTCGACGCTCGGTGGTTTACGTGTTGAACTTTCATCAAAATATCTTACCAGAGTAGTACGTACTATCTTTGGGGCGAGAAATCAACACGAAGTATATTTGATTGTAGCCTGGGTCATGTTTTTTGCAGGTACCTTTTGTGGTTCAATTGCTTGCTCCTCTCTGTATGTGTATATATGCTTCCAGAGTTGTTACGCTCTAGTGTGTCAGGCTAATTATTATTTTTGGAAATGGAGCCATATGATTTGCGTCGTCTATTAATTAAAAAAAGAGTAGATAGCAAATTTTGTGCGTTTTTGAACCATGGGAATGAGGGGGTCGAACATACTTACAGCAAGACTAGAACGTACTAGTGCAAAGTATACGAAAATGGAAGCAACATCTTCGAAATCCATCATCTACTCCTTCCATCCAATAATGTAAGATATTTTTTTTGATATTATTAGTTTTAAAAAACATGTTTTACATTATGAGACGGAGGAAGTAAGTGGCAAGGCACCCTCTAATCAGCTCACATGTGCGACACAGTTCACGCCGTTGGTGTGCACGCCGGCCGGGGCCCCGGACACGAGCACGCCGGCGAAGCCCCCTACCTCCACGGTGATGGAGCAGTTCATCCTTATCTCGAGATCCTTCTTGTAGATCCCCAGCACCTTCACCGTGCCGCCCATCTCCGTGTGCGTCGTCAGGTTGTACTGCTGGCCGAGCAGCAGGCCGGTGGCGTTGACCGCCTGCGACAGCCGGTCGGCGAGGATGTCCACCGTCACGTTCATGCGCACGCTCCCGTGGGCGCCGACGCGGCCGCCGGGCACGTACGCCACGCTCACCGTCCGCCCGTCGAGGTACACCTCCGTGGCGCTCGGGGAGAACCGGAACGACGCGATGTTGTCGTTCTCGATCGAGACGTCGGCGGTGAGCGTGGCGTTGGTGGCGACGGGGTCGGCGAGCCCCGTGCCGGGGCCGGACCTGAGGGCGGCGAGGGAGACGCCGTTCATGGTGAGGCGCGGGTCCTTGACCTTGAACACGGTGAGCGAGAGCGCGAGGATGAGGATGCCGACGATGACCGCGGTGGCCACGCAGCAGCCGCCGCAGCAGAGCAGGCAGCGGCGCCTCTTCCGGAGGTACTGCACGGAGCGCCACCCCGTCGCCGTCTGCGCCGCCTCGTCCACGTCGCTGGCGGCCGGGTGGGCGTACGGGTGAGGGATGGCCAGGGGCCTCGCCGGCTCGTTCTTGTCGTCGTGCTCCGCCACCGCGGCCACCCTGCTCGACGAAGCGGCGGTCGCCATCGAGGGGGGGAGGGGGCGCGAACCGTGTCTAGGTGCCTACTTTGTTCGGTGGAGATCGGTGGTATGAAAAGCCCACATGATTTCTTGGTGAGTTGGTCCTGCGGTGTTGGTCTTATAAGTGGGGCTCTCGGGCCAAGCCAAGCCAAGCCAAGGTGTCCGACGTACTCCCAAGCGTGGTTTCGTAGCTTAGCTTCATTTGTGAGTGGTTTGACACGCCTGACTTTGATCGCAGCTGACACGAAGGAAGGAAGAAACATCTCACCCCAGGACCAGGAGTGATGCTGACATGGCTGTCTTCGGTCTCACAAAGAATAACCGACTCGTGTTTGAAACTTTGAATCCGGGCAAGGTTTCTAGATGCCCATTTTTCTTTTCATTGCAAAATATCACTACTGCTGATGGGCAATAGTATTCTTGAAGGAAAAGTATAACATTGACCCCTGACAAAAAGGTACTCCCTCCGTCCGGAAATACTTGTCATCAAAATGGACAAAAAGGGGTGTATCTAGAACTAAAATGCATCTAGATACATCCCCTTTTATTCATCTTGATAACAAGTATTTTCGGACGGAGGGAGTACCACTTATCCTAACTTATGAAAACCAACAAATATTGAGATCATTCGCAAAAAATAGAGAGTTGAGATCATGTTATATTTATCGCAGTCATAGAAGCCACATGCTCGTAATACAATTTCTTACAAAACACATGCTCCTATGTATAAGGAAAAAACTCGGATCTAAGCACAGAGTAGTTACCACTAGGTGGTAGCTTCCATTTTCCCTCCGTTTATAAATATAGGTCTTTTTAAAGATTTCAATATAGACTATATACAAAGCAAAGTAAGTGCATCTGCATTAAAATATGTCTATATATATATACATACATACATACATACATACATATATATATATATATATATATATATATATATATATATATATATATATATATATATATATTCTTATGTAGTTTATATTGAAATCTTTAACAATATTTATAGTTAGAAACGGAGGGAGTATATTCTGCTCAATTGACTATGCAGAGTCTATTAAGGATGTTAAGACATTCTTGCAAAGTGACATTTAGAAGAAAAAAATTGCATGATAATACGTGTCTTATTTATATGATAAGGATCATAGTACACGTCATGTATATACCGATCTGACAGAACTGGAAAGATAATAAAACGCTATGCTTTGCACAAAGAAACATCAGCCAAGAAGTAAAACTACAAACAAGACCGAAGAATTCGCTGAGCTTGACACCAACATTCGTCACCTGCCTCTAGCAGTACCACAACAACCACCAAAGAAAAACATGACATATCACCTCTACATCCGAGCTCGATGCGACTTCATCGCTGATATGTAGCTTTGCAGACCTTCAATGTGGCTCGCCAAAACCGAAATCATTACCGTTGAACGAATTAGACCGGGGCAACACCCTGGACGCGCCACTCAACTTCAGATCTGGCACCCCCAAATGACTAAGACATCGGAGGAGGAAACCATACCTGCCATCCATGAACCACGGGCCCAGCACACGATCCACCATCTTCCAGATGCCGCCGATGCAAACCATAATCCGCGTCCGCTCCTGGACTACCTCCCAAGCTCCGCGTCGACGCTAGAGCAAACGTCGTCGCAACAATGGAGCTCGAGGATACAGGTCCACCATGAGGATGCTACCGCCGCCACACCATTTTTGCTTGAACAGACTGGATTCCAGATCCGTCCTCAACCATATGACCGATCGCCTCGTCAAAGTAGCATCTGAATAAACTTTATTCAGCGCTGCCATCATCACTGCCAAAGCCAATGCGATGAATTGTCGGGCCCGTGGGACCCAGGGTACCCAGGCCCGTCCGCCTTTGGCCCAGGGCACGGCACATGACGAGAGCCCAATGAGTGGCCACCAACAAGCGTCACGAGCAAGACTCCTTACAAGACCGGTCACCAGAGCTTGGCCTCATGAGACCCCTCCTCAGGAGGCAGGCACCTTGACCAGACTAGGCGGCTTCACCAAGAGCCTCGCGAGGTGGCCTCCCGAGGTTGCCTCCTGAGGCACCCTCCCTGAGGTGTGCGAGACAAGCGCCACTCGGCTCAGTCACACGGTCTCATGCCGTCACGTGGGTGACGCGCGCACCGACGAATGGCACCAGAGGTCGTGCCAGCAGACGCGGATGAGGAGGATTTCCTCTTCCGTGCTAAGGGAGCAAGGCCAGCAAGCCGGTTCCCAAAGCAACCCCCAAGGTTGCCCGATCGATGCAAGAAGACCAAGACGAAGGGCGCGCAGGGTGGTGGTCATCCCCAAACCCACAGGCCCGTCATGGATGGTGGCTTTGCATGAATCCAGTGACCCTTCTCACCATCGATGACTGAGATTGTCGGCGGAAGGGAGCCCCTGAAGGACGGCGTTGGAACTTGGAAGGTTGGCCTCTCTCGGCGGCGCTAGGTTCGAGTCGCACGCGCGAGAGGAAAAGAACGACTCTGGTCCCCTGCTCGGAACAAGTCGGACGCACCGGACGCAAGTGACATTTAGATTAGGAAAATGTTTAAAAACAACCGGATGATCCCACTCGATTGTAAGCCCCCTCGAGCGAACGACACGCGTCCCCTACTGGCCCACACACCGCTTTCTCCTCATAGCGTTATCTTCACGGGAAGGTTCCCGTCCACAAGTTTTTCTTCTCACAGGCTTTCTTCTTCCTCAGGTGGTGCTACCTCTCCCGACCACCGCCGCCGTTACACACGACTGCTACTACCCTGCTACCTCTCCAAAAGACACGCTGCAAACTCCTCGTCGCTGACCACCGTCACTCGTTGCCGTATAGCCCGCTCCAACACTGCTACTACCCTGCTACCTCTCCAAAAAAGCAACATCCATGGAGATCAGCTAGGGGAGCACGGTGTGCTGCAATTGATCAGGGCCTCCGACCGTGGCTGCCGACGCTACGACGTAGCATCGCGCGCGCCCGTCACTGCTGCATTGGAGCATCGTCAACACTGTGAGGACGACCGCGACGGACATGGCGGTTGCAACTCCAACGCTGCACTGGAGCTTCGCCAGTGCTGAGACGACGACCGCGACGGGCCGGCCATGGCGTTGCAACTCCGACGCTGCAATGGAGCTTCGCCGAGCTGCTGCCTTCACCCTGTAGGTTTTGCCGCGCCGGCGCTACGATGGAGCTTCGCCAGTGCTGCGACGACAGCAGGCGATGCTGCAATGAAGCTTCGCCGGAGCTCCAATGAAGCTTCGCTGGTGCGTCAATGAAGCTTCGCCAGAGCTCATCGGCGCTGCATCCAAATTTCTTCGCCACGCTCGGTGTTGCTATGGAGCAGCACCCGGTGGCTCCGATGGTGTGATGCAGCGGTTGCCTATGACTCTTGAAGCTGTGATGCAGCAGTTGCCGGCGGCTCCAGTGACACGAGGTCGCCGACGCAAGGTGCCAGAGGGGTGCTGTCCTGCTTTGCATCAGGCGGCGTTGCTATGTATCAGAATCAGATGGATGGGGATTAGAGAAGAAAGGCCAAGCCTGTGATGACTTGATCAAACGGCCATCGGTGCAGGATCGAACGGCTGGCTGAGAAATCATCCGTCTGATTTGTAGCAGGCGCCTTTAGATTAAGTCCGGCCACTATTATACTTCGTATAAGGACTGAAGGGTTGGAGTGGTCACGCTCATGACCAAGGAAGAAACATCTCTTGTCGGACCCTCGTACTATATCACCCCAGGACCAGGAATGATGCTGACATGGCTGTCTTCGGTCTCACAAAGAATAACCGCCTCGTGTTTGAAACTTTGGATCCGGGCAAGGTTTCCAGACGCTCGTGCTTGTCGGAGCCCTGCCATGCGTGCGACACGGCCCCATCCGATGTGACGGCGATACGTCGGTGCATGGTGGAGTTGGATTGGCTCGGCGTACGGAATTCGGACCATACTTGTCGTACGTGGAGCAGTTTCGTGCAAGCAACCAATGGATTTAACATCGTACGTACATCATGCCAAAACGCACCCTACACACAGTAGTCTCGTATTTTTCGTTGCAGCGATATAGATGGCACCACAAAGCATAGAGCATTTTTTTTGCGAATAAGACTTGCATTACTCAAATCAAAGTGTTACATTCTTGTTCTATCAGTTCCATGACCTCATCTGGGGTCAGATCCTAGCCAAATCATGGTTCGGCGATGCATCCTACCAAAATTAGCCCAGGCGCGACTAACATTTCATCGCGCTCACTTAATGAACTTCGTTATTCCATTTCTCCCATTCCTACGCTTGGCTTTTTTTATTTGTTTTTTCATCGAATGACCTAAAGCATCATTGGTAATTTGTGCAGTGGTAGTTAATTCGCACCCCTCTCGTTTTTCTCCCCTAACCCTAGGCGGGTAGGGAAAGCTCTCCCCTTCGGACTTCACGGGCGAGCCCGTGGATTCTCCTTCCCTCTGCCTGCCGCTTTGATGACCAGTGGCAGAGAGATATCCGTGCCTTCGTTCGGTTAAAAGTTTAGGTTAGGGTTCTTTTAGATCTCGCAGGTGCAGCACTCAAACGGATGGTGGTGCTTCTTCTTCAAGTTTGTCTTCCCGATTCCAATCCTCCTCGGGTTCGTCCGTCTGGACATAGTCAACGAAGCTCTAGCGTAGATTTCTACCGTCCACTAGTGCAGAACCGGGCAATAGCACCGGTTCGTAAGGCCCTTTAGTGCCGGTTAGGTAACCGGCACTAAAATTTAGGCACTAAAGGCCCCCCCCCCTTTAGTACCGGTTCAGCACGAACCGGTGCTAAAGGGCAACCACGTGGCACGAGCCAGCTCCGGGGGCCGGGAGCCCTTTAGTACAGGTTGGTAACACCAACCGGTACTAAAATGTTGGGGGGGTTTTGGTTTTATGATTTCTTTTTTATTTAATTTTGTGTTTTCCATTTTAATTCTTTTTCGTTTGCTGGTATTTTACGGTACTACACATTGTACACGTTATGCACACACACACACACA